TGAACTCTCATTCACAATTGCTTCAAAGAGAATAAAATACCTAGGAATCCAACTTACAAGGGATGTGAAGGACCTCTTCAAGGAGAACTACAGACCACTGCTCAACAAAATAAAAGAGGACACAAACAAATGCAAGAACATTCCATGCTCTTGGATAGGAAGAATGAATATCGTGAAAATGGCCATACTGCCCAAAGTAATTTATAGATTCAATGCCATCACCATTGAGAAACTCTCTCTTTAAAAAGCCATCTCCAAAGCAAGAATTCCCATTATTTTCAAATTACCCACAACATATCTTCCATATTCTCATTATAACACTTTTCATAGTGGACTGTTATGAACTGACCATGTTAAAAATTCTCCAAAGAGACTGTGAGTTCTTTAAATGAAGGGTTCTTGCCTTATTAATCTTTGTTTAATTAGTGCTTGGAACTATATCTGGCACACGATATAATACATATGATTTCTGGGTGAATGAATGCGTGAATTAACTGCTATAATTATTGTGCTGTTTTTGTTCACCAACTGGTTCTTTGAAAACAATATATATAAAACTTACCAACTGACAATGCTGCTGAGTCTAATGACATGACACACCGTGTTAATCTCATTTTATAATAAAGACTTTACATTTAGTGTTTTATACCTTAATTTATCTTCTGTAAATGTACAATAAAAACTTATTTAATAAAACATTTAAAATCAGGGTTTTGTAACTGTGGATATCTTTTTGTCTAAAGATTGACTGAATATTAAAATTTTGATCATATGGCTTTATCCTTTTTAGTATTAACCTACAGGTTGCCTTTGGAAGAGCAACTGGAGTATTTTTTTTTTTTTATTACAGACTTAGGTGTCTTTAATCATTTTAATAATGATTGTTACTGAGGCTAGATCCTTGCTACCTAAAACAACATCTCTACCTCTGCTTTGTCATTTATACATTTGCTTTTCCATTATGTTATACACATTTATTTTAGATTATCATACATACTTTGTAAGCAGAATATGTCCTCTTTGGTTGTTGAGCACATTAATGCAGAGCCTTTCTTTTGGTATAACCTATTAATTAAATCCTGTTTAATGACTTGTTTGTGATTATTTTCATAATTGTCATTTCATACAAACTTGACCCATTTGCCTTTTAAATAAGCTTATTGTACTATGTTGATGTCTTCATTTTTTCCACATAATAAGATATTGATAAAATATAAGGTCAGGAAGAGAAATAGCCATGTTAATCAATGTGTTCACAAAGTATTAATTCTAAGTTTGCTTAAACTATCATCAATCTTTTATTTGGCAGCTAAGAAATTCACTTCTATAGAGCTTTAATTCTCTCTCGCTCTCTTTTTAAGTCTTAATTTTTATTATTAGCATGACTTAAAAACACAAATCACTCTTTGACAAATGTCTTATTACCCATATTAGTGTTTTGCTATGTAAAGGAGATTGAGGATAGGCTTGTTATTTATCCCAACTCAGATTCTAAGGATGAAGGCAGGGAGGTGGAGGGATGAAATATTAAAAATAAATTTTAGGAAAATCATTCTAGAAATGTAGGATCACATTGACCTTAAAGGAGAAACAGGAACCTAAAAATAATGACATCGCTAAAGACCGACTAGGGTTTAAAGGACTGAGAAATTCAATTTTGAATCCTTATCAAATTAAGATCTACTCTTGTGTCCATACAGAAGGTACTTACATTCTAGAAAAAGCCATGTCTAAAAACTTTTCCTGAACCCAAGAAATACTAAACCCAAGTATAGTGATGTGGTTAGTATTCTTGATTTTTATTTTTGATTTATAATCCTTCTCTTTACAAAAACACCTAGAGGCTTCACGTTATGAAAGCCAAAAACCTAATAGAAAATTAAAAAAAAAAAAAAAAAAAAAACTCGTTTCAGCACAGGAGGTAGCTAGAGTGACAACCATTTACCATGAAAATTGGCAATTAAAAAGAAAGAAACATTTATCCTCTCCTACACAAACTAAGCATCAGAGTCATCTAAAAAACTTCATTTGTGAGGAAAAATTTTTCAGAAAATTTTCATCTGATAAATGTAGATAAATGATAGAATTAGAAAATCACCAAATGGCAAATTATGTTGAAAAAACATTAAAAGGCAACAATCATCAATAGATTGTAAAAGATATTAGGTGAAAAGATTAATGGGGAAATTTGTAACACGAGGGTCAGGCTGACAAAACCTGTACCAATGATCAGTTTCAACATCACTAAACTTATGATTACCAGAGATACATATTTTCTGATTTAATGTAATACAGTCACGTGCACTACCTATGAAGTATCTATGCTAAAGAAGTTGAATCTAAATATAATCCAGTCTTTATACTTATTTTTAATTTATAGAAAATATGAAGAATAGAAAAACATTTCATACAACAAAGGAAAACAATTCTATAAGGCAACTCTCTTACTTTTCAAGAGTCATTGGTATCATTAAATTTAAAAAAAGGAAAGACCTATTCTAGATTAAAGGGAATTTGAAACAAAAGCACCACCACCATGAAAGGCAAAATGTAGACCCTGTTAGGGCCCAAATTTAAACCAATCAACCATAAAATGACATTTTTGAAATAATAAGGGGAATTTGACTTATATTCAAATGTATTAGATGATAGTAAAGATAAATTGATACTGTTCTAGGTGATTATATAGAAAATATCTATTTGTATGGTTATATACATTGATGTTGTAAAATGTAGTAGTTGATATTAGAACTTTAAAATATTAAAATAAAAACAAAAAGAAAAAACAAGTTTAAGCAAGTTTGACAAAATGATGATTATAGAATCTAGTTGATTGGTATATGAGGGTACATTACATCTTCTCTACTATTTTATTGACTTCTATATCACAAAAGTCTGAGAATGTTTATGATAAAAAGTTTCAAAATACAAGGTGAAATATTTAAAACACACATATTTTAATTTTTACCTAATTTGAACAGAATGTATGGGAAATCTTGTGAAGCCAAAAATAAATCCAGAGGTGGAACTAAATACTGAAGCCACCAGCTTCCCTGGGGACATCTGCCATTCACAATCACCTAAATAGTTAATCTAAATGACCTTATATGAACAAGAGACTTAGCCTAGGGCTCACATAAGTTGAAGAGTCAGAATAAAGATTCCTGCAGAGAGCTGAAAGCCCAAATCCTCATTCTATCAGTGAAAGGGCCTACTAGGAAAATATCTATTCCACTGCTATAGACTGAATGTTTATGTTCTTCTGCCTCCAAATTCATATATTGAAGCCGTAACACTGACTGTGGTTGTATCTGGAGATGGGGCCCCTAAGAAAGAAATTAGGGGCCGGGCGCGGTGGTTCAAGCCTGTAATCCCAGCACTTTGGGAGGCCGAGATGGGCGGATCACGAGGTCAGCAGATCGAGACCATCCTGGCTAACAAGGTGAAACCCTGTCTCTACTAAAAAATACAAAACAAAAAACTAGCCGGGCGAGGTGACGAGCGCCTGCAGTCCCAGCTACTCGAAAGGCTGAGGCAGGAGAATGGCGTGAACCCGGGAGGCGGAGCTTGCAGTGAGCCAAGATCCGGCCACTGCACTCCAGCCTGGGCGACAGAGAGTGAGATGAGACTCCGTCTCAAAAAAAAAAAAAAAACAGAAAAAAAAACAGCCAGCCTTGGTGGTGCACGCCAGTAGTCCCAGCTACTAAAAAAGCTGAGGCAGGAGGATCACCTAAGCCCAGGAGGTCAAGGCTGCAGCGAACCATGTTGGAGGTACTGGGCTCCAGCCTATGTAACAGAGACTCTGTCTGTAGTTAAACCAAAACTCCCATTGAGTTACTTGCTGACACCAAGTGTCATCAGAGTACTCTCTTAGAACATGGCGTGATTCAGAATTATTGTTATTATTGTTAGTTGCAGAGACTAGCTAGAGGCCCGTTAAACAGCTTTGCTCTTCCTGGGTGAAGAACTAAACTAAGTTTCCCAGCCTTTCCTGTGACTGGGGTCATGTGACTGTTCCCAGCCAATGAGGTGTGAGAAGAAAAGAGGAAGTCCATTTCCGGACCAGATCCCTCAAATGGCCCATTGAGGGTCATTGCTGCCCGTTTTGTTCCCTTGCTGACTGGCAGTTTGTAGAATAGGGGATCCATCTAAGCACCCTAAGAGAAGGTAGAGCTACAGACTGGAAGAGTCTTATCCTCTGACTCATCCTGTGGATGGCTGCCCATTTGAGCTGAGTTAGGAGAGAGAAATCACTTAGTGTGGTAAGCCACTAAGATTTAGGAGCTGTTTAACATACTATTTTATGTTATGATTAGTATTCAGATTGCAGGTTCAGCTTCTGAACAAGCTCAAGAACTTTAACTTCTACCCCTATGGCCTACGCCCAGGGGAAGATGGGACTTACAGAGTGTTTGTAAAAATCATGGTAGAAAAACTTACATACATATGTATATAAAGATAGATAGATAAAAAAAAAAAAAAAAACTATACATATTTAAAGATACTGCAAGGTTGTGATTTCCTGAGCAGGATGGACTGGGCAGACAAAATCAGCAATGCCCCTACTCCTGAGAGAGGCCTCGCCCTCCCTGTTCAGTAAGTCTTGAGTCTGCAACTGGCTCTCTGAGTCATATTGGATCCCCGATCATCTGCAGCCTGGTGTCCTAAGAGCAAGCCACATAGCTAGGGGGCAGAGGCTCAGCGGCTGGGATAAGGCTGTTCTCATAAGGGTTGGAGTAGGGGCCATCGGATAAGCCCCCTTGGGCTCCCTGGGAGTCCCCTGAGCTATAGTCAGTTGAGATGCCAGAGTCAGATACGACAAGGTACAGGTACTTCAGGTGGGGTGGGGTAGGGGGCAGCTCAGGGGACAGTGCCCATGGACGCAAGAGCTGGGAGCTGGGGTCCAGGATGGTGTACTCGAAGCTGGCAGCAGAGGCTCCCTCTGGGCTAGGCTTCGAGGCCAAAGCAGATGAGCAGGAGGATGCTTCTGAGCCTTCATCCATGGCCACTGTGTCCACACTGCCATCGGGCCCTGGGAGGTCCTCACTGGGCGGGTTCCGGGGCAGCAACCATTTGTCCAGCACCAGATAGGTATCCTGGGCATGCCCACTGCCCACCGGCTCCAGCAGGGGGCCCTCATCATCTGTCCCCGGCTCCACTGCCTGCATCTTCCCCCAGCAGCGCTCTGAGAGGACTTCCAGGGAGGCAGGTGGGTCCTCTGTGAAGGGGGTGCAGGGGCTCCACCACAGGCAGCCATCGTTCTGGTACAGCCACAGCTGAAGAAATAGCACCAACCTGCTCAGAGAGGCCTGCAGTTTGGCTGCAAGAAGCAGGGAAGCCCAGGCACTGAGGGGACAACCAGGTCACCTACCTGGAAGTTACCCTTGTGGGTGGTGAAGAGGCCTTCAAACTCGCTCTCTGGGCTTGGGATGCCAGGCCAGATCTTCTGCTTCAGAGCCCTGTTGAAGCCAATAGAAACAGTTACATAGATATGACTCATTGAACACTCACCAATACCCCCTCCACTCCCAGTCATAGGGGCACAGATACTCCTAGTCCCTGTGATCACAATGGAGGCAGAGGAGTGCATCAGGGCTGGGGGACAGGGGTTTTGACTGAAGCATCAGCAAGGCCCTACAAAAGGGTAACTGGAACAGGGTATTGAA